TAATTGCGCGCTTTCGCCGAGGAAGTTTCAGTTGACGACTGGGTCAATTCTATTTATGGTGTCACTTCCCGTCACGCGGCGCGATGCATTGGAACGTGGCTTATTCACTGGCGGGGGCCAGTTCTGTCATGGTGGGCGTCAATATTTCGGACTGTGCTGGAGCCCGTTCGTGCGCTTTCCCCATCCGGTGCCACCGTGTCGCGCCATCGACACGATGGTGACGGATGTACCCCCAGTCCTGCGATGTGCTCCCGGCCGCGTCCCTGCCAGTACAATGCGAGACCTCCGGGTTTGTGTCGTCCGTGGCTTTCCTAACCCCAGGACGAAATTGTTTCACGCGTATCTGTTCCACCCTGCGTCACCGCAGTTCACTGAACATTGTGGTCTGGCCGGACATACAGTGGTCGTTTGGGCAGATGTCACTCAAACTGCCGCGTTACGTACAGCCCGTGCGGCCCCATTACTTGTTCGTGTGGAATCGTTCCACTTAGCGAACGTGGGTATGATGAACTGTCCCACACCCGTGCCAGAGGCTGCAAGTAACACTAAGCAATAACCCAACCGAAGCTCCGCTATTGCAGCGCACCGAAGCTTGTGAATTTCTCAGAGATGAGCCGAATTCAATGTCTATGATCATATCACGCTTTGTGTTTAGACCGGTCTTCCATTCTTTATAACACTTATTGTATCCTGCGGTTTCTCGAATGCGTGTGGAGACGACCAGGGCACACGGCTTGTAATTGAGGCTGGAATCCATTTCGCATAACTACATTCGACACGCTCATGTGCGCGGACTGGTTGTCCACCCTCGCACAAACAGGCCGCATCATTCGTTTGCAATATATTCATTATGGCTTGGCGCATATACGTTGCAATAACACTAGATTAGTGATTGTATAACAGAGTTACAGGACAACGCGGAGGCGGGCCAGGCAGCGAGGTCGGGTCAGGCCAGTCAGGTCAGGTCAGGAGCAGTCGCCGTCCCGCAGCCCGGCTCCATACACCTCATCAACACCCGCACGGGGGCGATCAACTGGCTAAACAGGTATCACATAAACCTAAGTACAGGCGGAAGGCTGTGGGCTGACGCCGGCGTGCGAGCGCAGGCAGACTCCGGCAGAGCATTATGCGTAACAAGGGGCGGTGGCCGACGCAGGGGGAAGGGGCGTCGTCTGCGCCGGCGACCGCATGGCGGCCGCCGGGGAGGGGAGCGACGCGTCGCAGCGCGGCCGCAGCCGGCCGGCGCACGTGGACATTATGCACGCGCTCACAGCAGCACCTCCGTGGACAGAGCGTGGACACGCGTTTCCGGGTCCGGGCACTTGCAGGCATGACTACAGCGGGATAACTAGCGAGTCTAGGCACTGGTCGAGTCGGGTGGGGTGGGGCGGCGCGGCGCGTGCCGCCGTCTGTGAGCGGCTTCGACGGCGAACGGCGCTGGCGCGCCAGCTCGCTTGCGCGACAGGCGCGAGCGGAGGGCGTCATGGCCTCAGCCGGCCCGCCGTCTGCTGGCCACGGTGAGACGTCACAGGCCGCCCGCGCTCAGCTAATCAGAGTCGGAGGCTCGCGAGCAGGACGCGCCGGCGACCAATCAAAGTCGCCGGTTGGTCAGTCGGGCTCCGCGTCAGCCAGCGGTGTGTCGCCAGCTCAGCATCACGCTACATTGCACTTGGTCACGTCTGAAAAAAGCAGCGGGCCTGCGCTGTAACCTCCAGCCGCCACCGCCACGGCCAGGATTCAGACTTTTTAGTCGCTCGGTGACGAGATAATGTTATGAGACGGCATGCAGGGCTCAGCCTGCTGTCCATAGTCAGTCATGCGCTCGATTACAGAAGATGCAGGAGAGCTCCCTCCATATCGAAGCTCCATGTAACCCATTACAATGTCATGAGATTTCGTTAATCTACCACGGCTCTGTCGGGTATCCATGCCGTCAGGACGCTGCAGCGATGTCCGCCGGCGATGCGTCAAACCTACGAGATCTTCCGCTGATGTTTCGCGTCTTACCTCAGGGCCGAACGCTGCGCATCTTCTTGAGCCCGCCGTGCTCTCGAATGGCGATCATCAGCTCCTCGCGCGGGTCCAGTTTGGGCACGGCCGGCCGGCTGGCCGACGTCTTGTTCAGTCTGGTTCGCCCGTTGGCCGCTGGAGGCAGCACTGGCGCAGGTGGCGGTGGAGGCGGTGGAATCACCGCCGAGGCGGGCACGTCGGCAGAGCGGAACCCTGCGCAGCCGGACACATCGTCACGGCGCTGCGCATTCTGTGGTCTCCACGTGCTCACACGACCTCCTGCCTGGAGGCTGAGCAGTCCTTAGCTAGATCTTCACATAAAATTAAACGAATCAGCGTGGTATTCCACGAACGCAGCCTCCGACACGAAGCCATAAATTCAAGAAATACGCTGTCTGGCTGTGGAAAAGGACGGCAAGTTCAGAGCTGCACACATGTGCACTACGATCCTCCTTGGACCACAGTGGCGGCGTCCTCTTCGCAACGCAGCGCCCGTCGTCCGCGTGGGACTGACCTTTGACCTTTAACTGACCTTTAACCACGGGCTGCTGCCGGCTCCTCCATCCGGCGTCGGCGGTCATCTGGCGCGACGCGGCCTCGGTCGTGGTGGCCGAGTCCTTGCGCGTCACGCTGACCACGCTGGGGGCGGTCTTCTGCGCCGGTGTGACGCGACAGGTGACAGCGCCCGGCCGACCGACCGTCGGCTGCGCCGGCCGCGGCGCCGGCAGCACCACGGCCGGCGGCGGCGGCGGCGTCTGGCCGGCGGCCGGCTTCGACACGCGCACAGACACGGCGTGGGGCGCGCGCGGCTCGTCCGTCAGCGAGACGACCGAGGTGAAGCGACCCGGCCGCGGCCGCCGCTCCGCCGCCGGCGCCGCCTTCGAGTCGGGTGATCGAGAAGGCCGGCGCGCGCGAGCTGCGCGCCGCCGCCGCCAGGGGCAGCACCGCCTGCGGCTCGGCCACGGTCGTGTTCTGACGCACCTGGCCACGGCCGACAGTCGCGGCGGGCCGCTACCGTTAGTTTGGCCGCGCGGCGCTGCCAGGCTGACGGGCGGCGGCGGCGGCGGAGGCGCGCCCAGAGCAGGTCCACCGTGACGCCGTTGGCCGGCCGCAGCGGCAGGCCGGAGACGGCGGCGGCAGGCGCCGTCTGGCGCAGCACGTAGTCGCTGTCTTCCTTCAGCTGCACCTGGCTCGGTCGGCCCTGGTCCTTCCAGGCGCCCAGCGCAATCTTCGGAGGCGAGAACGGTACCCGCTTCTCCCTGCGGCAGATGTGAACATTCCCAGTGGCCGGGATACGTTCAGGGCCACTGCGTGCCTTATGCGCCGCAACAGTGGCTGTTGACTGGGTCACAAGATTTAGCGTTAAAAGCACTGCAGTTCGTAAACGAAAAACGATATTCCTTAACGTTGCCAAACAGCAGCATGTGTCGCTTAGGACATCCTTCCGACGACGAATATCATCCCTGCGTGCATTATCGACCCTCAGTATCGCTCCTGGCGTTCTGACCTGCTCTCAGAGGTGCCCCGCTCAAGAGTAGAGGCTCGTTCTCTGACCGGAGCCGGAGCCGGAGCTGAGGTCTCGGCCGAGACCGGGGCCGGGACCGGAGCTGAAGCCGCGGCTACAGGCGGCACTGGGGCTGGAGCCGCGGCTACAGCCGGGGCCGGGGCCAGGACCGGGCCTGGGGTCGACTCCAGCTCCGGCACCGGCTCCGTCGCTGCCTCCGGCTCCGGCTCCGGCGCAGTCCGCGGCTCCGGCTCCGGCCGCGGCACCGACAGCTTGCTGTGCTTCAGGGAGGTGGCCCGCGGCAGAGACTGGGAGCGGCTGGAGTAGTGGGCGGCGGCCGGCGCTGGCTCGGCCGGCACCAGCGGCCGCGGCGCGCGCCGGTTCAGCTCCTCTATCACCTGGCAGCGGGGCGGCGGCGCGTGAGCCAGACACCCACGCCGAGTCACCGCGCGTGACGCGCTCCCCGCTGAAACCCCGCGGACGACACAACAGGTCGGCAGCGGTCAACATCTGAAGTTCCGCGGTGCCCTTCCGTAGAAGACAGGGGTCTTCATCTCCCACCATGACAGCAAATGTTTGATGGTCGTAAGCCATCCGTGGTTGCACGGCTTTTGTACCAGACTGCTGTCGAGTTGCAGGCATCATGAACACAAATGGACACAAATAAAGACAAAAACTTCCTCAAAAAGGGGATATGTTCGAACGACAGTAGGTCGACAGAGATTGGTCAAAAACGTATTACGTCACACTCATCCTAAAATGCGGCCTGCATATGCTATGTACCGCTGCGCTGTATGCAAATCTCGGGCACGGCGAGCTGGGTAAGTAAATGCGTAAAACGGAGATGCTTGTGACAATAGAACGCATTAGTTCGTTTTCCAACCACCGAAAGAAGAAAAGCCGACGGAAAAGGAAAGTAATAAAAAAATCAAAAGAGGGGACGGGTCATTGAATCTACTGCAACCAGACCATCGTGTTACCTCAGCCAGGCGAAGAGCACCATTTCGCTTGCCGACAGTCTCGATTCACCGGCCACCTCGCGGTAGAGAACAGGCGCACACTGTGGAAGCCGAGTACAAAGCCGAAGCCCAAGCCACCGACCGACAGCCGCCCCGCCCAGAAGCGTTAGCGCCCAAAGCCAGAGCCGATGCCACAGATCCTCGTCGGAAGGGCGCCCTCTAGGGTGGGCGCTCCTCGGTCATGCTTGCCGTGCGCACGGACGCCAGTCCAGTGTCCGTCTGCTGCGCGGCGTCATGCAGAAGGTGGTGGTGCCGGCTGAGCTGGGGCGGCCGCGTTGCCGGCGGGGCCGGGCCGCGGCGCCCCGACGCCGGCCTCGCCGGCACCGGCGGCCGCCCTACCTGCAGGCTCTGCAGGCTGGAGGCGGCCGGCCGGCCGGCCAGCGGCGCCACCTTGGCCTGCAGGATCGACTGGTTCTGCAGCAGCTGCTGCTGCCAGTGCAGGAACTGCTTCTGCAGCTTGAGGAACTCGGACTGGATGTCGCTCACCTCGCTCTCTGGAAAGAAACCGGGCTCGGCTGTTATGTAGCCACCGGTGATTGGCTGGCTCACTGAGAACGGTCGACTCGGTGCCGTCAGTCAGGACGGGTCGGGCTGTGAGACGGGACAGTCTTACTATGCTGAAGACCAAGCGAGGTAGAAAAGTGGACTACGATAATACTTAGCGTGAATAATGGATTCTTACACGGTCAGCAAACGAAATGAAGACGCACCCCTGCGCTCTCTGTTATACAGCTAACATTTAACGCTTCGCGCTGCCCGTGGAACACCCACCTAGCGCCAGGTCCGTGTGGCTCTGGGTTTTGTTCATGTTCGGCCATGCGCTTCCGGCTGGTAACGACAGCCCTCCACTTAGGTTCATCATTGAGCATGATTTAGAGCTGTTAAACTTCGTCTGAAACGGAAGGCAAGAGATGTCTCACGAACGCATCATCGTTATCACGGTGAGTCGGTGGCAATCTTGACGGGAAAATCCTGATGGGCTCGCAATTCGGAAGAAAAGTGATCCACTCGGGTAATTTACACAGACCAATGACGTTCATGCTCCCATCGAATGAAGATACTGTGCAAGGCCCACGTTCCAACGAGTCAAAGAAGATATCACAAGCAGATTACGCCGGCACCGTATTAAGTGCACAGCAAACGTCAGTTAAAGGTTACGCGATGCTGTAAAAACGCCAAGAAAAGTGCGACGTTAAACACGCAGGTAAGCCACAGGTAAACGTTTGAATAGTTCACACCTAAATCATTACGCAGAAGACGCTACGTACATAAACCGCGTGACATGATGCCGACACCGTCCGTCGCACACGACAAGTTCCTCCTTAGTCCTGCTACTTCCGTTGCATGCTCAGCGGGCATGGAGACAGCGGACGCGCCGGCCACGGCGCGGCGGCTTACCTCGTATTTGCGTGGCGGCCGGACGGGCTCGCCGTGGTCCGCCGCCACCCTCGGCGGAGCCGGCGGCGCGTGACCGGCGGCGTCGGAGCTACGGCGGCGGGTCAGCGGCCGTCTGACCCCGCCGACCTCTGCGGCCGGCCCCTCGGCGCCCGAGGTCACCTACAACGCGAGGGGGAGGGGCATGTGAGCAACGCCGGTGCGGTGGCGGCCATGCCCGGGACGCTGTCGGAGCACTTCGATTGGAAATGATGCCCATAGATCGTGACAAGAATGTCCCTATTGCCCATTAAAGGCATCCTGCGGGGTCGCGCACCAACACACACGGGCTGAGCCTCGCAGAACGTTACGTGACTGACTCATACATCAGCTCTTATCAAATCAGACGTCTGATTAACAAGATCACGACCCAGCGAACCCAACTGCACGATCCATGCCGTCCGTTAGTGTTGCTCCCTGCACGGGCTGCGTGCAGCAGGGAGTCCACATGCGCCACCCTCGCACGCCAGCCATTCAACAAGGCCGTCCACGCCCGGAGAACAGACTGCGGGTGGCAAGACGACCCGGTCCGACCCGAGGCGCCGCCCTGTCCCGAGTGCGCACCTGAGGTGGGGAGCCAGACGCGCCGGCCGCGCTGCGCTGGTAGTGGAACGAGTCTGCCTTCTGCAGCCGACTGCCAGCGCCCTCCGGCGGCGGCTCGCGCTGGCCGTAGGCGCCGATCGAGAAGCTCATCTGGCGTGTCACGCTCGAGCGGCGCCGCTCCGGCTTGGCCGGCCGCCCGTCCTCCGCGGCCGGTTCTGATTGGTCGGCCGCCAGCCGCTCCGCCAGCCCGACGTTGGTGGCCTCGGCCAGCTCGCCGGCCTCGCCGCCCGAGAACTCGCTCGACGTGACCGTCATCGAGTCCTGGAACTCGAGCGGAGCCTCGAGCGGCGCGCGGCCCGGCGCCTGGTCCTGGAAGGGCGTCGGCGGGTCCGGCAGCTGGTACTCCCAGCTGGCCGACTCGCCGGCCACCCCCGCCACCGGCGCCGGCGGCGGCGGAGCGTCGCACACCAGACGGGCCGGCCGCCTGGGCAGCTGCTCGACGGACGCCAGCTTCTTTTCAATCTCAACCTGGATGTCTTTGGAGGTCATCTGAAAGCGGTGCATTGCACGCCTCAGCGGGCGAGCTTGCAGGATTGCAGCCCTTTTACAGCCAACATGGAAAGCCACGGACGAGTACAACGCAGAAGCGACGAGCACAACAAAGACCCGCTATAACTATGACACTCAACAAAAGCAAGAAATGCGACCCCAAAGCTTTCACTCAGCCCCGACAAACTCTGCGTTCACTTACCCGATTACGCTGCACTTTTTCGACCTTTTCCATGACTTCTTCCTGAGCTTCAGCAGACAAATTGTGTCCATTTTGATACACCACCTTCGCTGGAGGCATCTGCTTCACTGGTCGCGCCTTCGGAGGCAGCTCCTGCGTGTCGCGCGCTCCGTTCTGGTGGCGCCCAGCCTCCGTCTTGGGAGCCGCCGACAGGGAGGACGCCTGGGCTACCTCAGCGGCAGAGCGAACGTCTGCCACTGCCTGGCTCTCCGGCGCCGCCGACTTCTGCACGACCTCTGCAACAACAGTGGTCTCCTTATGAACCTGGACAGCGGCGGTGAGCTGCGCTGGGGACGCCGACGGTGGCTGCTCCGCCTCCGCAGGCGGCACTCCTTCGCTCCTGAGCGACCGCGCCGGCCCCGCCACCGCCGCCGCCTTCGCGACCGCCGGCAGCGTCTCCTCGACAGTCTGCAGAGTCTCCTCGACAACC